GTCAGCCTCAGCCTCAGCCTGCCTCAGCCTCAGCCTGCCTCAGCCTCAGCCTCAGCCTGCCTCGGCGTGCCTCAGCCTCAGCGTCAGCCTGCCTCGGCCTCAGCCTGCCTCGGCTTCAGCCTGCCTCAGCTCGGGCATTCAAAATATGGCACAGGACTGGTGTTCTGGGAACGCGAAGATCACGAAATGGCCCACAGATGGCTCCGGGCAATCAAACTATGGTACAGGAATGGTGTTCAGGGAACACGAAGAATACGAAGTGGCCTACAGTTGGCTCTGGGGCTCTGGGCATTCAAAATGTGGCCTGGGAATGGTGTTCAGGGAACACGAAGAACACGAAATGGCCTAGAGCTGGCTCCGGGCATTCAGAATGTGGCCTGGGAATGGTGTTCTGGGAAGACGAAGAACACGAAGTGGCCTACATATGGCTCTGGGCATTCAAAATGAGGCCTGGGAATGGTGTTCTGGGAACACGAAGAACACGAAGTGGCCTACAGCTGGCTCCGGCCATTCAAAATGTGGCCTGGGAATGGTGTTCTGCTGGCTCCGGGCAGTCAAAATGTGGCTCGTGGCAGTCAAAATGGGGAGTCCCCGGTTTGCCCCGGCATCCCCCGGATCCTGCCCAGACCCCCCTGGGGAATCAGGATGCTCTCTTTTGACCCCACTGGAAGCCTATCAGTCTTCGCTGTTAGGTAATTACACAAAACGTCAAATCTCTGTGTATATATATATATATATATATATGTGTATATATATATATATATATGTGTATGTGTATATATATATACACATATCAGATTCGGAGGCTGCTGCGACAATCGCCAGGCCTCCTCGCCGTTGGGTCCACCTCATCTGTCCGGCTCACGAGGCCGCGTAGCATCGACGAGCCTGGCCTCCAACCCGCCCCACCCCCCCAAAAAAAGAAATCGAGGGACAGCGACAGCTTCAAAGACGCACGATGGTCTTTAATTCTCCTGCTCGGAGAGAGTGGGCGAGCAGCGAGGGAACCTCTCTTTGCACGGGGGAGCGGGCATTCTCCCGCTACGCCCAGCTCCGACGGGAGAAGTGGCGGAGGAGGCCGACAGGCGCGGGTGGACAAGAGTGGAGACTATACGTGAGCCCGTCCCCTGGCCGACCACACAGATGGCTGAGAGCACCAGGCCGATCCGATCACACGGCCCGATCGTGACGGCCACGGCCACGACGGCGGCGATCACACCTGATGGGCTTGTTTTGCACCACCACCATAAGTTGCACCTCCTCCTCCTCCTCCTCCTCCTCCTCCTCCTCCTCTCCGTCCTCCTCCTCCTCGTCCTCCTCCTCCTCCCCCCCTCCAACTTATGGTGGTGGTGGTGGTGGAAAACAGGCCTATCAACACCAATCGCACAGCAGACTGAGCTAGCCACGCGACCGAGCCGACCGGGCCGCTGCGCGATCTGCACACGCGACCACACGCACGACAAACGCTTTGCTGCGGTCGGGAACCTTTGCTCAGCGTGTCGCGGCGGCGGCCCCATCGACACGCCATGCCCTGCAAACAGATAGCGTGTCATTCCGCTCCACGGGGCTAGAAGCTGGGACCGACTCGGGACATGGATAGCGTGTCGCGCCGAACCATGGTGGGCCAGAACCTACGGAGCGACACGCCAAGCCAAAACTCTTGACAGCGTCGTCCGTGAAAGCACGCGTGACACCAGGTGACCTCGAGAGACCGCTCGGGGGACCCACAAGGCGTGGGAGCTTCCCGCCAATGACGCCTACTCGGCCAGAGCACAAAATCTATCTAACTGCGTGCGCGCCCGGGCTCGCCTGCCTGAGGCCCCGCGGGGTGGACGACACGGCAGAGCAACGGCAGCAAAAGGCACAGGAGGGAACGCCATACGGGGAGGAGGACGGCACGCGCGCCCGCCCTCGCGGATATAACGACCCGGGTCGACTCAGATCCGGGAGCCTGCAGGATCCTGCAGGATCCTGCACCCAGGCCTGGGTCAACGTAGCCTGGCTCTGCAACTTCCTGCAAGCTCCGGCGCTCTGACCGACCCGCGTGTGCACCGACCCCCCACCGCTCGGGCCCCGGCGCCCCCTGTGCCCGCGGGCTCCGCGCAATGCGCGTGGAAGACGTGGCCGCAGTGCAGCCGAAGCAGGCCCTTGCCCGCGAGGCCGGCACTTCCGCCCCACAGCCCGCAGCCAGAGCGCGGCCTCGGGCGGGCGATAACGCGGGAGAGGGCTGGCGAAGCAGAAGGTCCCACTGGGTGTCAACCTCCTCCACCGGCTATTTGGGTGCTGTGCGCGCTGCGTCCTGTCAGTGCGAGAGGCCTCGATGTATGAAATAAATGCCCGCTTCGGCTTGGGCGAGCAACTTCTGGCAGCCGCCCGTGGGGAAATGAAAATACGAGAAGATGCGGTGGAACCCTATGAGGGCGCAGATCAACTAGGCGCGCTGCCGTTGGGAAGGAGAGAACAACAAACCAGGATGCTAACAAAATACAAAGCGCCCAAAGAAAACACAACAGAGAAATAGCAATTTGTAACGGAATACACGCGCACAGTCGCTTAGGGCTGATCCTCCTCCCTCCCGCATAATACCTTCTCCCAGGACCGCCGCTCTTACTAATTCTGTAAGGCAGTGAGGAGTAGTCAGGCAGTGTGGCACATTTTGATTCGCGGGTCGAGAGCGCACCTCTTCTGGTCGAAGCTAAGCGGGCCGCGCGAAGCTTGAATTAACAATGAGGGGGAGGAAGGGGGAGGGCGTAGCCTCAGGGCGAGGCCAAGAGGAGGCAAAGCCACGGGATCAGGCGGTGCCGAAGTCGACGTGCTTACAAAGGCGCGCCTTGTCCAGGAACCAGGTGGCGAAGTACCGGCAGAAGCAAAATGCTGTGGTTGGTGTTGCCGTCCACGGCTCATCATATACACCAGCCTCGAATTGGCGGCGAGAGGTGACGCGCCTTGCACCCAAGCAGCGTCAGAGACCAGGGAGAGTGGAGAGAGTCGCTGAGCCGAAGTGCAACGTTGTGCCATCGAACAGGTAGCAGGAGCGAGTGGCCCAGGCCGCGGTCGTCCAGGGTGCCACGGGTCCAGGGTACGGGAGCCGCAGTGACTTGAGGCGCGGCAGCCAGGACACGCCAGGAACATGCCGCCTGTGACGGCCGACAGGGCGCCGGTGTACTGGAGCAGGGGGTGGAACGAGTCTTGCCCTGCGGGGGCGAGGGCACAGGACCGGGCCGAAGCCGCGCTGTGCCAGGGCGCTGCCGTTGTCCGCGGAGCCCAGGGCCCGGCCGGGGCCGCGCTGCGCCCAGGACCGCAGGGCCGCCGAGGTGGCAAGGTGAAACAGGACTACCATCGCGCGCGAGCGCCGGGCACCGGGCCGAAGCCGCGCTGCGCCGGGCGCGGCCGCCATGCGGGAGGGGGGTAGCGGGCGGGGAAAGGGGAAGGCGAGCAGGGAGGAGAAAGGCCAGCCAGGCAGGCCAGCAAGCGCCGGGGCAACCCCGCGCCGGCAACCGGGCGGCCCCACCAGCCAAGAGGCAGGTGGAACCTGCGGAATCAGGAGGGACTAGCCGTCCCATTATCAGGTGTGAAAGAAGGAGGGGGGAGGGGGAGACGTGGCCAGGCGCTGCAGAAGGCGACGAACAGGTCGCACCCGAAGAGGAGCGCCAGGAGGCATTGCCAGGGACAGGAGGGGCGGTCAGGGCAGGGCGCCCGAGGCCGCGAGATCAGTTAGGAGCGTTCGAGACAAGTCAGCGCTTGGGGCGCTGCATTCCGATCCAGTTGTCCGTGGCCCCGGAGCTGCGTGATGGGCCGTCCCCGCGCCCCTCGTCTTTGGCCACCTCCCGTTTCCGCCGGATCTCCTGATACAAGGCGTTTCCGCGGTCCCAGTCGAAGTAGCAGGTGGACCCTGCGGAATCAGGAGGAACTAACCGTCCCATTATCAAGTGTGAAAGAAGGAGGGGGGAGGGGGAGACGTGGCCAGGCGCTGCAGAAGGCGACGAACAGGTCGTACCCGAAGAAGAGCGCCAAGAGGCCTTGCCAGGGACAGGAGGGGCGGTTAGGGCGGGCACCCTAGGCGGCGAGATCAGTTAGGAGCGTTCGAGACAAGTCAGCGGCTGGGGCGCTGCATTCTTGTCCAGTTGTCCGTGGACCCGGAGCTGCGTGATGGGCCGTCCCCGCGCCCCTCGCCTTTGGCCACCTCCCGCTTCCGCTGGAACTCCTGATGCAGGGCGTTTTCGCGGTCCCGGTCGATGTAGACGCCCGCGTTCCGGGACAAGGTACCCACATCGTAGCGGCTGCGTGCCATGTCGTCCAGGAAGCGGTCGATCATGTCGGGCTTCCAGCAGGATGGGTCGAACTTGACTGCGTCCCTGCTCTTGCCCTTGTCGTGGCCCACGTGCCTGCGCCAGGAGTGTCAGGCTGCGGCGAAGCAGAAGCCTCCCTCGGCCTTCAGCCTTTTCAAGTGGGTGGTCGCCGTCTCGTCCGGGGGCCTCGGCCAGCTGACGCGGCGCTCTTCCCAGGGGCGGCTGTGGTCAGGGCGACGGCGATCATCTCTGTTGTGTTCAAGGCGGCGGCGATCGTCGCATCGGTGCGAGGAGCCCCAGCCTCCGCTCCTGTCGCGATCGCGGTCTCGGTCGCGGTCGCGCTCTCTAGCTCGCTCCCTGTCGCTGGTGTCCCTGGACGGGCGCCGTGCTGCCGCGCTCTCGTACCGGTCCCAGAGACCGGGCTCACCCCCCTGCCGCGCCCGCGACCGTACTCGAGCGGAGGACGGGGGTCGGGTACGGAGCGCCCGGCCCCGGTGGTCACAGTCCGGTGGGGTGTGCGCGGGGCGCGGGCGTCAGCGTCGGGCAGTGTGGCACAAAGGAAAACATAGAGCAAGCAACGATGCTGGAGGTAAACAGTTGGGCAAGTCTGTAAATACTACATGAGTGTGCTGTCGTCGCTAAGGTCCAGTGGGACCTGCCCTTGGGATGCGTCCCCTGCCGACTTGGCAAAAGTGGCAATCGACAGCAATAGCTAGCACAGTGGGGGCATTGGACAAGTAACCCTTCGATAAGGAATCCAGTGTCTGGAAGCTGGTTGAACTCCAATCATGGATCGGCCATGGATATCACCGCCGCCCTCATCAGATAAGGAATCCTCCAGGGTCTGCAGTCTCCTGGGCGCATTTCTTAACTAACGCCACCACCGTATCACGGTAGTGAGCGAAGTGTTCAAAGAATCGGAAGGCGTTGGTCATCTGTAGAGGTTGGCGCATACGTGACGGCTGGCCTAAACTGTGGCGGCACTGAGGGCTGACACGAGCGAGATGAGTGGCCTGGACATCCAGGCAGAGGCTGGCACATGCGCACTGCCTGGCCGTCTTTGTGCTCTTGTTGGGGTTGGCGCGGGCGGTGCGGGCAGCATCTTCTAGGTAAACGCTGGGCGTCGTGCGTGCAGTTCTCAGGGCAACAGCTGCGAAGAGAGGTGTAGCGCAACGGAAGCTGAAAGTGTGGTGGGGTGTAAAGTGTAAAGTAGCGGGCGGAACACTCTGTCCTATTTTTGTTGTAGCTCCGCGTCATGGCGGTGGTGCAGCGGGCGATACGCCCTGGCCTGGACCTGCTGACAACGCATGTCTTCCGTCCTATCCCCCATCTCATAGACCCTCCCCGAGGTACTAAAACTTGCCAGGTCGAAGTGGCTGGCCTACGTGGGAGTACTTCCTGAAGTGCGAGCTGCGTAAGAGTGGCTGCTTCGTGCTCTACCCCACGATTTGGGAGCACCGAAGTTTCTTCTCATCCCAGGCTCCATCCTCAACAATTCCAAATCCCACAATAAAATAGAGGAACGCGTTAATCATCTTTACAAGGGCTGGCACAGTCGTTATGGCTGCCAGAACATGGGAGATGAGTGTCCGAAACGGTATAGCTGCCTGCGTGTGCGGCTGGCGCAGACATTACTGGATGGCCTGGAAATAAAGCTGGCTCGCATTGTAAACGGATAGTGCCAAAACACTGTGTTTGGCGCGTACGATGGTAGTGGCAGCAGCTGCAAGGAGGTGCGCCGCATATGGAGGGGTAAAATCGTTGCAAAGTTGCGAGCGGAGCCCTGCCTTATTAGCTTTAGCTCTAGCTCGTCATCCTCCTACTCCTCCTGCTTCTCCTCCTGCTTCTCATCCGGCTCCTCCTCCTCCTCCTCCTCCTCCTCCTCCTTCGCCTGCGTCTCCTCGTCCTCATCCTCCTCCTCCTTCTCCTCCTCCTCCTCCTCTTCCTCCTCATCCTCATCTTCCTCATCCTCCTCCTCCTCATTCGCCTCCCCCTCGAGCGCATTTTTCTGCGTTCGGCGGTGACGGGCGTCATGGGGGGGGGCGAGAGGGGGTATGACGTAACGCCCCCCCGCCGTGTGGCTCCGGCACCACAGCCGCGCCCGCGCGAACGACGACGACAAGCGACGAGCGACGAGCGACGAGTGACGAGGACGAGGACGAAGACGACGAGGACGAGGACGAAAACGACGAGGACGAAGACGACGAGGACGACGACGACGACGACGACGACGACGAGGGGGGTAGGTAAAATGGTAGCGCTTCCGCGTGCACCACAGCGCCTGCGCGCACGAGCCACAACCAGGGGCCACGAGCCACAACCAGTTCAGCACCACCTGCGTGCACCACAGTGCCTGTGCGCACCACACGGCCTGCGTACACCTCTGGGACCCTGTGGGGTCCCGACGGGACCAAATGCCAGGAAATCGCGGGGGCGGCCGATATTATCAACTTCGATACGAATGTACATTGATCGTGGCTTTTGTTTTTCCCTCCCCTGCGTGCACTCCTGGACTTTGAGCCCACGTGAGCGCCCGTGAACAGCAGTGGCAAGGAATGGGGAGGAACGGGGAGTGCAGGCAACGGTGGCGCTTCTGCGCGCACCACAGCGCGTGCCTTGCTGGGCGGCCCGGCGGTCCGCCACACCACACGGGCCTGCTGGGGGGCCCTTGTTGCGCGCCGAAATGGCTTAACCCAAAAATGCCGATGCGGAGGAACAGGGGGAGGAGAAGACGGAGGAGGAGGAGGAGGAAGAGGAGGAGGAGGAGGAGAGGTAGGAGGAGGAGGAGGAGGAGGAGGAAGAGTTTTCACCAGGAACACAAAATCATAATTTCGGATCCATGTGCGGATCCCAGTACGGGTCCCTATGCGAATCCCTTCGTCGATCCCTGGGCGGATCCCTATGCGGATC